ATTTACAACAGGGGCTGCAAAAAAAAGAGATTGAGGACTCTGTGTCTTCAATCTCTTTTTCTATTTTAAAAGGGAAATATCAGGGGTCTAGACCCCTGATATTTCCTTGCAGCCCCCCAGCAGTAAAGTTTAAAAAAAAATAAAAAAAATTAAAATGTTTAAAAAAAAATGGTTGAAAAAAAACATGTAATTTTCAGTTCTGGTTTCAACCTGACAATTTTTTTTAATTTTCAGTTTCGATCTGAAAATTTTATTTCGGTGCATCCCTAATAGATATCTACTTGACAACAATGCTGTATTTGTAACACTTTATAAATAATAAAATCCAAGAAGACAGCTGCACACTGCCAATCTTCACTCAGCGCTTCTTTATTTGTAAAATCCAATCAGCTTCAAGCTTGCCTGCCAATCATTCACCCCTGAGAAGTGTTGGGTGAAGATTGACAGTGTACGGCTGACTTTTTGGACTGCATCTACTGTGGAGTATGGACGGCTCTCTGGCCAGCACTAGTAATGGGCTCGGGCGTGTTCGCAAGCGCCTCGTGGTGAGCCCGGCAGGAAGCCGTCAGCGCGCAGGGCCAATCAAAGGCACTGAGACATGTTCCCAGTCCGCAGCTGCAGAGATCGGGAAATGTCTCAGTGCCTGTGATTGGCCCTGCGTGCTCACAGCTTCCTGGCGGGCTCGGCACGAGGCGCTTGCAAACACGCCCGAGCCCATCACTAGCCAGCACCTGCAACAAACTCAAGCAATGGAACTGTGACATGGAAGGAGCAGTGGAGGTCTCTCTTTGTATTTCCCTTTTGAAATAATAATATCATACATTACCATGCTTGGGTAGGTTGGTATCAAACTAGAGAATACTACACAGCCAAAGAGTTTTCAGTATTAAAAAAAACCGCTATTACTGAAATACAAAGTTACCAAAAATAATTTTTTTGTCAAACTTTTTTGGTCAGCTAAACCCTCATCTCCATCTCTAATCACTGCCCTATTGATATATGATTGCTACTCTGCATAGAGCTGATACACATTGTCACATGAAAAACTGTGTTTTTGACATGTAGGGTTGTGATTTACAGCCCGGTTTCACCTTCTCTATGCTGCGCAAGAGGCAAGATGGCGGTGCCCAAAGTTAGAATAAGTCAGGAAACATGTCAGTTCATTATAAACTAAAATATAGTGGTGGCGTCTGTAATTATCAGCAAAGGAAAGGGTTGCTTGAAGTACAAAAAAAAAAAATCAATACGTTTTGAAGACTTTTTTTTTTTTACACTCTAGGAACAGCCTCAGTCAGTCTTTATTTTTAAAACCCTGTTCCCACAGTACTCTAGGCCATCATTTACTCACTTGTACCCACTGTTCTCATTTGCTAAGTTTCTACTCTAGTGCAATTATTTCCGATCCAGAAATCGTATACATGGGCATTTGTATTTCGTTTCTGACATATTTTTGTAAAATATTTTGAAAGGGTATGAAACAGTTGGCATGTTTAACTGCATTGTATGAAGCAGTGTTCATTGGTGTTTATTTTTTGCATTGTCTATAGCTCTACTGTATATGAGTCAGTAGTAATACATTCTGAATGCATTTCAAATGCAATCCATGTTTCCCTAAAAAAAAACACTGTTTTTGCTTCTGATTCTGAAACTTTACACATTAATCTGTAATATGAATTCACTACCCACCCACTCAACACTTCCTGCGCTCTCCTGTCAAACAATGACAAGAGCTATCACGCTCTCTGCAGTTGGAGCAACTGTCATACCATGACCAAGATGACAAAGATCTTAAAATCCGAATTTGTATAAATACAAAATAGTAATAACATAAGATATAAATATTTGCAGCATTTGGAGCAGGTTAACAGAGCACATGCGATTAACCCACCTTGTCAGATAGAACTATTGATACACCCAAACCTTGGAAATGCACAGCTTTAAACAACACTTAGAAGTAAAAAAAACAAAGTGGTTATCTTGTTCATCACATAAAGTATTTACTCCTTAACAATTCTACCATTAAATTCCTCTTTGTTATCATACATGCAGAAAAAGTGTGTTACCAAAAACCATGTTCTTTAACCAGTTGACATCCGCGGTGTTAAACCCCCTTCCCATCCAGGCCATTTTTCAGTATTCAGCGCTGCGGTACTTTGACTGACATTTATTCCGTTATGCAGCGCTGTACTGAAATTAATTTTATACCCTTTTTTGGGGACACATAGAGCTTTCTTTTGGTGGTATTTATTCACCACTGGGGTTTTTATTTTTTTATATATTAAGGAAAAATTACAGATTTAAAAAAAAAAAAACAGTTTCCCCTATATTAAATTCTAAAACATTTATAATTTCCCAATTTTTTGGTAAAATATAAAAGACGGGGTCTAGTCGGGTAAAGAGACACCAAACATGTCAAGACTTAAAATTGCGCACGCCAGCGAAACTTCAAAAAAACTAAATTACCCAAAATTGGCCATAGGCGACGCATTAAAAGCTTTTACCGCTCATCAGTTTAGTGTTATCAGTGATTGATGGCCCTAAAATGATTGCTTTCACTGCGACGTTCGCGGCGATATGTAACATGTGTAGCGCAATTGTCATTTTCGCGTGCTGGCACATGCGACGCATATTTACGTTTAAATGTGCGTAAACGAAGGTGGGGGGACTTAAACATTGGGGGGGGGGGTTTACTTTTTTTTATTTGTGACCTGTTATTTTTTTAAACTTTTTTTGTTTGTGACTTTTTATTTTTTTAACTTTTTTTATTTATATAGATTTTTTTTTTACACTTATTGTTATTGCTATTATATAGGGGGATACCATCCCCCTATATAATAGCACAGGTACACTGACAGGTCCTCTTTATGGAGACATTAGGGGTCCCTAGACCCCTAATGTCACCTGGAGACCCCAAAAGAAGCTGATGAAGCACAGATTTGCTTCATCAGCTTCTTCTATCTGGCATAGGAGCCAGATGACTGACAGGTGAATGCGGAAGTGATGTAATACACATCACTTCTGCATTCACACTACGGAGGGAGAACAGCAAGGAGCTGATCTCCCTCCCTCCTCCTCCTGATGCCATCCCGAGCCGGTACCGGGCCGCAGATGGGGCAGCGGATCCCGGGATTAAAGGTGAGGGGTCAGGAGGGGGGAGATGGCGGCACCCGCGATCGCGCGGGGCTCTGAAATTCACGCCATACAACCGATCAGCGGCTATAGAGCCGCTGATCGGTTGTATGTGAAACAGCCGTTAACGGCTGTAGTAACAAGCGGGTCTTTCCTGCCCGTGCGCGCGCGCTAGGGGGCGCGCGCGAGCAGGAAAAGAATGCCGTCTGGCGACGGCAACCCGCAGATAGGAGTCAGCCGTCCGTCCGTTTTTTCTTAACGGGCGGACGGCAAGAGGTTAAGACAACACACACCGACAACACACACCTTTCACCATAACCAGAACTGGGGAAAACACCTTGTATGGTGAACTTTTTTTAGCACAAAGGAAACTGTAACTACTATGAAAGCAAGTTGGTTGTGTTTGCATTCCAGGCCAAAAAGTTTAAAGTATTCCCCTCCTGAGGAAATGTTAAAATGTACAACTTGGCACTTAAAGCAACCCAGCAATCAAATATACTCACCTAATCCATGGCATCTGCTATGTGATTATAGTGCCGAATCAGATGCCTACATGTAAGGTCCTTTTTACGTTTAAGAACCTCTGGTAACCAGGTGCTTTAATATGCAGAGACTTCCTGAGTCAGATGGTTTGAGCGCCTTGTCTCCTCTTTGTCATCTCTTAAGCTTCACTATTGGAATTCTTCTGTGATGGGCAACCTCAATATCTAATTGTGAGAACAAGGAGGCTGGAGGAGGGCAGAGTCAGATGCTTGACACACCTTACTTGTGAAGTCTCCATACATCAGAGCACCATGGAACTACAGACACTAGAGGTATGCACAACTAAATATGACGAGAAGTGCAGTTACAGTAAGGAAGACTGCTATTTGATATTAGTATGTATGTATACTCCACTTTAGGGTTGCTTTGTGCACCATTACACACCTACATGCTGATTGAAACCACCCATATTTAGAAGTCATTAACAGTAGGGTCTGTAGTTGAATGTTGGTATGACTGTGGCAGGGACATTAGAGCGAATTGTTGAAGGGACTGATTTGAGTGTTGAGCATGGTTTATGTATATCATGCTATGTTGGCAATACCTGCTTTTGTAATAGTGTTAATTTTGGGAACACCACTGACTAATAATTTGCCTATGTGTTTGCATAGTCACCACTTTGATTCCACAATAAATCTGATGTCTGACACCATGCTCTCACAGCTTGTTTTTGTCTTATTTTGAATGTGTTTGTTAATTTGTCTAATTTTTAATGTGCTTGTTAATATGTCTCTAAAAGTTTTCTTTAATCACTAAATCACAGCAGGTTTTGCAAGAATTCTGGAGCATGCGTATTCTGGCACTGTAACTATGGTTTTAACATTCAGAGAATGCTTATAATTGTTCAAGTTTACTTATAAAAGATTTATATTTGCATCTTTTAGGTGTATTTACTTAGCCCATGTCTGACTTTTCAAAGTCAGGGGTTGAAAAAGGTCACCTGAGGTCTGACAGTTCCTACTATGTTAATTGCCTGACCACACACCTTGTCCTCTATGTTCTGTCCTTAGTGTGGACTAATAACATTATTCTGAGATATTCAGTGTTTGGAAGAGCTGTTCTATTTGCTGGGTTGAGAAGTATAGGGCTTAGGTCTCATGAGTGGATGGAGGGAGAGTGACACGGGAAGGTAGTGTGTAAGCCAAGAGATGGGAAGTTTGTGTGTAAACCAAGAGGGACAAGAGAAAAGTGCAATTTGCAAAGACCAGGAGTACTTTTCAGTGGGATGGAAACAGAAAAAACGGATCTTTGGTTTTATTAATTAAAGTTCAGATCAAATACACTTATTTTTCAAATGCCCTTACATGAAATGTATGTTCTTGAATTACCTGAGACCATTTCTCCTCCGTAACCCTGCTTTACAAGGGAGAATACACTTTTCTGCTGGTGAGCACAGTCAATACAGGCTTGAACTGCTTGCTGCAATACCATGGAAGGGCGCTCAGGCCCAAAGTGATCAGGCAGTTGCTGAACCTTTTTTCTGTCAAGGTAAGGTCCTGTGTTACCTTGTTTGTTCACATAAATGCAAACTGCAATGTAAAGAAAATGAGAAAATAATGTTAGAAATGGTCAAGGTCAAAATTTACATATATTAAGACAATGACAGTGACATACATGATGAGCAATTTTCCATCAAGACATCCAACTTAGGAGATATAAGTTCTTAGCATGCTAAATATAATTAAATTAAACTAATCTACCTCAGTCACTATCCTGAAATTCTCAAAGCTGCTATTAAAGGGAGACCTAAAAGTGAAAGTAGTTATAGGTTAGATCTGGTGGGCTGAATCAATTCCTTATATGTCTTGGATAATACAATAGCGAGACCTCTCTGCCATAGTTTCTGCAGTTATTCCGGTCCACCTTGGAGTTTAGGGAATCTCAGCCACCTTTGCAGATATAGAAAACTGGCAGCATATACCACAAGATCGGACATACATTTTTTTAACTGACCCTCTAAATTTGTTTTAGTGCAAGCAGAAATAATTACCATAATGACTTTGAGGACACAAATGCCACCTTACCAATCCATGGGATTTTATAGAGGTTTATGAATGTTTTAACTACAGAGGATAAAAGTATAGATTTGCTTATAGCAAACACAGAGACGTGTTACCAACGCCTAATTATTTTGTTGTTGTTGTTTGTTTTTTTATATGGAGTAAGTAGTACGCCATTTGTAAAAGTACCTTGCTTTAGCGTTAATCATTACATGGGTGATGTGGATAGGCTTTACCATGAACCTTAAGTACAGATAGCGTTCTATCAAACATGTTTCTATACCTGTAAGTGCCTGTGGGATAGTGGAATTGGGCACAGTTGCTGCATCCTGAGGAATGGAGCTGATATCTGGCTCTGGGGTACTGCGTGGTGGGGAAATTGCTAATGGTGTCATTACAATACGAGATTTCAGCTGCAAAAGATTAAAAAAATATAGAAAAAGAACATGAAAAGGAAAAATATGCACCATTAATACAATGCAATATGTTGACCAAAGGTTATTTTTGCTCTACAAGAAAACTGCATTAGAAATTATAGAAAAAAATAAATTGCAAGAGCAATATTTACAAATGTTATTATATGTGCGATTGAAGCCATTGAAAACATCTGGTAATTCTATGTAATCTTCTTTTAACCACTTGAAGTATGGGGTGTTAAACCCCCTTCCCATCCAGGCCATTTTTCAGTATTCAGCGCTGCGGTACTTTGACTGACATTTATTCCGTCATGCAACGCTGTACTGAAATGAATTTTATACCCTTTTTTTGGGGACAGACAGAGCTTTATTTAGGTGGTATTTAATCACCACTGTGTTTTTTTTTTAATATATTAAAGGAAAAATTACAGAAAATGAAAAAAAAAACGGTTTCCCCTATATTAAATTCTAAAACATTTATTATTACCCAATTTTTTGGTAAAATATAAAAGACGGGGTCACGTCGTGTAAAAAGACACCAAACATGTCAAGCCTTAAAATTGCGCACGTGCACGAAACCTCAAAAAACTACCTTACCCAAAATTGGCCATAGGTGACGCTTTAAAAGCTTTTACCGGTCATCAGTTTAGTGTTATCAGTGATTGATGGCCCTAAAATGATTGCTCTCACTTCGACATACAGCTGTATGATCAGCTGTAAGTGAAACAGCCGTTAACGGCTGCTTCTCACTGACTCAAGCAGCGGCTGTCACAAGGAATACGTGGCTCTCAGTACAGTGCGGGCTCTGCAGGAGGTGGGGCATCTCGTCAGTACCCGGACTGAGCAGGCTGCGGGACATAGTAAAAGTGGGGAGAAGCCAGGTAATAGTAACTCAGTGTGGGGGAAGGGGAGGGACGGGGGTGGTTGGGGGCAGTGCTGAAGCGAGGGGGGGCATGTGTGCCGGGCGCCGCAATCTTATTACACTTTTCTATCCATGAAAGGCCTTAGATTGGAAAGGACCGGGTAATGTTGCCTATATTTGGGTTATTTATTCACTAATCATTCTCTCATTAAGTGAGCCTGAATACTTGGCCCATTTCGATTTATTGCAACAAGATTGTTCTTATATCATTTTTTGGTGCTTTTGTACCTGATTTCACTGTTTTGGCTGTGTTCCTAATTGTTTTGTTTTGACTTTGTGTTATGGTTAGGTATCGTTGCCTGGTTCTGAATAAATAATTTACAAAAAAAAGAAAAATTCAACACTGGAGAAAAAAAAAAAGTTTGGGGTTGAGGTATACTTTAATTCTATGTCAGTTGCATGTACACTTAACTCTACTTGTGTCTGATATTACATTGCTTACAAAGCTCTACACACTTGTCCAAACACAAGGCTCATGTACTATAAGCTTTCGCAACAGCGAATTATACATTGTAACGCAAGTAAAGGGAAAGAAGAATGCAGAAACCTTGGGAAGAAATCCTGTATACGGAGAGAAGTGAATTACATAGCAGCGATAATCTAGAATTAAAACTATAAGGTTTGTCAGTCTACTTTAGATTAAATTTAGTTCTCTGCAGTAAAATGCATGGTAAACTACAAAGTAATAAAAGTTCAAATGTCCTATTAATGCTGGGGCGACAATATACACGCCATTAATTCCTGGTCTTATACTGACACTTATTGTCATCAAATCACAAATGGGAACAAACACAACTTACCAAAAGCTGGGGCTTTTTTAGGTGCCACAAATTGTACATATTCATGTTATTCATAAAAACATGTATAAAATCACTGTTGCCACTTCAATACCAGTTATACATGACAAATATGGGACAGAAATGATGGCATATACATATCTTGACCAAATCCTTCTGATTTGAACAGATCATGAATAGCAGTAGGCTCAATGCGTTTCGCGAGTATGCTTCTTCGGGAGCTTTAATAAAGATCTATAATTCAATAAATCACAGATTACATGTCATAAAACACTCTATATAATACAATCTATTGCATAGGGAAATCTTCCCTCTAATTGCATTTTAATATACAAGTCTGAAATATGTAAATAGTGAGTTTACCCTAACTTATTATACAGCCTGTGAGCGACCACCAGCAACATCCGGGACATCCATACGAGGGGTGCAGCATGTCACCTGCATGGGGGCTTTCAGGGAAGACCATGACCGAGCTCAGTAAATACATACATACATATATTGGCAACAGTGATTTTATACATATTTTAAAAATGTATTAATAAAATATGTTTTTTATGAATAACATGAATACGTACAATTTATGGCACCTAAAAAGCTTGTTTTTGTTCTAATAATATAGGGATGCGGTAGCACCCATTAACCTCTCAACCCCCTTGTATATCCTTTACTATAAAATCACAAATAATTCAGTTAGTCACAACCCATTCTAGCTCCTTGTGCTATGGGCCATTTACCTTAAAAATAATTAGCACATCATTCTACGTATGTTTTACAAAAGTGTGACTGCATTTGGTCTCTAATGCCATTTAAAATTAATATTCATTACCGAATGTATTACCAAAGTTAACACTCTACTATTCTAAATAGGGATGCACCGATATATCGGCCGAAAGTGCAATTTGTTGGCTAAAATAGCAGTGCATCCGCTCTTTCTCTCCTCCCCGCTGGGCGCTGCTCTGTGTCCCAGCGGGAAGGAGAGAAACTGTCACAGGCGGCAAAGCGCTGCTGGAGCAAACCACTGTGAGCAGTCGGTGTCTCTCCTCCCCGCATTGCTCAGCCTCCTGTCAGACCAGGAGAGCGGCCGTGTGGGCGGAGACAGCCAGTGCTGTCACAGGAGGCCAGCCAGCAGTGTGGGGGAGGAGTCAGATGTCAGCTCGAGCTCTCCTCAGAGTCCTCGCACCACTCACTCAGCCTCCTGTGACAGCATGTCAGGAAGGAGAGAGAGTACAAACACTCAGCAATCAGTGATTGCTGAGTGTTTGTAAATAAATGAGGACATAGTATGTTCACTGTGTCCCCAATTATGAATGAATGGGAAGTGATCTATATCCCCGCCTGTTCATTCATAATTGTGGATATAGTAAACATACTCTGTTCTCATGTTATGAATGAACAGTAACACTCAGTATAGAGCATTGCTGTTCATTTCTAAGAAGGGGCTGCAGAAAAAGAGATTGAGGGCTGTGTTCTCAATCTCTTTTTCTATTTTAAAAAGGAAATATCAGGGGTCTGTTTAGACCCCTAATATTTCCCCGAAGCTCCTAAAAGTAAAGTAAAAAATTGTTGCCAAAAATAAATAAAAATAAAATATAAAGAAATTAAAAGGTTTTTAAAAAATACATAAAAATAAAATATTTAAAAAGAATTGAAAAAGTTAGAAAAAAAACATTTTCAGTTTCGGCCCGATGTTTTTTTTCGTTTTCGTTTTTACATTTTCATTTCGGTGCACCTCTAATTCTAAATGAATATAGAAGAAAAGCATCATGTAGCATTTTAGCAGTTTTTTGTAGCGTCATTTATGTAGGTTTAGGAATGGCTTATATATTTAGGTACAGGCCTATCAACATAAATAAACAGTCACAAACAAACAGTTCAAAGAACAGTTATAATGTGCAAAGTGCAGAAGTTCATGGCATAAAATTAGTTTATAGTTCCTACCATTTTAAAGCAGTCTAAGAAATTAACAGTAATTGCTAAATGGCTCTGTATGCTCTATGTTTCATTAAATATACCCAACTGTACCTTGCCTCTTCACATATTTTACATTCATACATTATCATAATTGATTTCACAGATGTTTAACGAGACCATTTTACTAAAACACATTAAGGGCTGCAAAAAATGAAATTAGAACGAGCTATACATTTATTACAAATGAATAAGGGCTATTGTTGTTTAAATACTGTATGTCAAGAACTAAAATTTAGTAATAAAATAATGATGGATATTTCAGTCTAGACAAGAACCCTTTAATCATCTCAAATGGCAGAGCTGCTTAGATCTCTAAAAATAACCTGTTAACATTTTTCTCTTAGTTTAAAATGGGGATGTCTGCTAATATGCAAATTAACTGATCTCCTAAACAGAGCAGATGAGGAGCAGTAGTCACATGTAGCTACTTATTTGTTTTAGTTCTCCCATGCATTCAATGACTGTTAGATATATAAGGACAACATAAGCAGTGGGTGCCTAATATTTCAAAGTGTAAGTACTAAGAACCAGTGTTGCTTCCCTTTACCCTCCAAGGCTTAACCTCATTATTCATTGTAGGTGGGTGAGGATAGTTGGGGTGACATCTTGATAGTTGTCTTTGATGGACATGGATGAGGCTTCTCTCAAAATGAAGACACCATCGTAAGGGGTGGAAGCTTATCTGTAACAAATCCAGATTTGTACGTGAAGAGCCCAAATAAATTTGAACAAATTTTTCAAGTGTAAAAGTGCACTTTATTGTTTACAAAAGCCAATGCATTATGGGGACTTCTACCTTTCAATAGGGGCTATATAGGATAACAGATACAACATCTTGTCGTTTCTGTTATTCTTTATAAGTAGCTTTGATGAAGGAGGTGGGTTTAAACCTCTGAAACATGTTGGCTTTCTGAGTACACTAAACTAGAGTTTTACACTTTCTTTTGGCGCTCCACATGCAATTTAGATGTGAATCTCATTAATGGTTGTGGGAAACTAACTACAGTTCTTAGTACTGACATTTTGACACAACAGCAGCTACAGTGGGCTGCTTAGAGAAGTGTTTCAGAAAGTTATCTACGGCTGTTTGTTTTTTACTTGCTTTTTTAAGCTAAGCTGTCATACAGGTATGAGCACCATCTTGCCCCATTTGTGACAAAGTATAACCCATAATCATTGTTAAAGCAGAACGCCAGGCAAATATACAACTTGAATCCAATTCTTAATTTTTAAATCCTGGCATAAGTATTTAAAAGCTTTCTTTATATTTGCTTACTGTAATTCCCAGTATACAGGACTCAAAGGGA